TCGACGACAATCGTCAGCGCGAACGCCATCCAACCAAGGTACCCGATTGTGATCAGCGTGCGGAGGAACAGCCAATCGTAAGTCTGGAGGTATCTCAAGCCCTCCAGGGCGATCTTCATAAGAGCTGCAGACTCTTCAATGGCCTCTTCGTAGTTGCCAGCGTCGACCAAACGTTGGATGGCGGCCACTCGGCGCTCAGGGGCCAAACCTGCATCACTCAAGGGCTGGAATGGTCGATAGCGGAGCTCCGTGGCCTTCTTTTGTTCTTCCTTGACCCTATACATCTCCAAAATCTCGCGAGCGTTAATGAGTGCTGCCTGAGCCTTCTCCTCAATACTCGATGAGACGTAGGACAAGGGCAGCTCGCCGACGGAGTTGGCAGGGAACTCCACACCGATCAAATATGCCATCAGAGCAGCAATGTCAGCTTGCGCCACGTCGTGTCTCTTGATCTCGTCAAGATGCCAGTCAGAAGAGTACTCGTCGTGCCCAGGGGCAACAGAATCGGAGGAAAGCACCGGCGGCGCAATACCAGATCCCCAGGTGATCAAAGGGGTGCGAGTGTTGTTAGGATGGCCATCGCCGTGGCTGCCCCAGTCACTCATGCCGTGGTCGGCAGTGAAGACGAAGGCGGTCCGGTCATCGGCGTAAAAGTTCCCGATCATTTCTGTAATTTCCTTGACACCTTGGTCCACAACTTTGATATTATGCAAGTATTCCTTTGAGTAGGGACGGTACGAGTGTCCATTGGTATCCAGGCCGAGCAGATGGAGGAAGAAGACGACTTTGTCTTGGCGCAAAGCGGCATCGAGAGTCTCGTTCTTGGCTGCATCGGCGAAAAGCTCCTTGACGTGGTCAAAGACCCAGAAGTCCAATTGCAACGCATCTTGACTGAAATCCTCGAACTCGTGTCCGTATGTGTAAGAATCGACACGGCCGGGGACAGCGCCCTGTTCGAACATTGGCAAAATATCGGGGGATCCCCAACTCCAGGTATGCCGGCTCCGGTTGAAGACGCTGTCGAAGTTTACGGGGTTGAGCTTCCAGCCAGTTGCCACGGCCGAGACATCTTCATAAAGACCGGCGATGAGCGCAACGTGGCCAGGGCGAGATTCAGTCGGCACGCGCGTGTGTGACACTCCAAAGGTGCCATGTTCAAGAACGCGGGATCGTAGGAAGGGGGCGAGGGGTCGTGGGGTCAAGTCATCCTCGGATTCGGGGTAGGGGTCGGGAAAGGACTGGAAAGCCTTGTCTGCTCGTAAGCCGTCACCTGGAAGAGAATGTCAGCATCTTACACCAGCTACTCCGTGGTATTTGGGAAGGTGGGCTAGCGCATACCCACGAAAAGAACCAGACGGTCTGCAGGGGCTTTGGAGTTTTCGGGTCGTTCGATTTGAACAAGCTTCATGCCCGAAACAATAGGACTGACAAAGTAAATGTCAAAAATCGAATATATATAGACGAGGTGAAAGATGACAGCGACGGCTAGAAAGCCGGCGCGCGAGGAGACTGCCATCAGAGACGAAGGGGCGAGGAAAGGGCGTCTTCTCTTTGGTGGGTTGTGTCTCTCGCGATGTCTGTCTTCTCCTGTGCGCTTAAAGGAGTGGGAGTAGCTCAATCAACGATGATCTGGGGTATGACACGCCCAGAGTGGGTAATAGGCGAGTGAATCCACTCGCTCAGCGCCAGAGTCGATTGGTCTGGTGGATGACGGGATCAAAAGAAGGAAGGGGAAATGTTCGAGAGCTCTACGAAAGAGAGGGAAAGCGCAGTCATTTCACGGCTCGCGCATTGCTCCTGTAAGAAAGAGTATATTACAATGATGTTGTTGCGCAACGCTGGACTTTATTCATAGAGATTGGGAACGCAGCCGTCCCGTCTAGCTCAATGTATGTAATCGCTTTCCAGTCCAGGGTTGACAGTCGTCCCGCTTGTTGCATCGACGCGGAAATTATTGGTTTTCGCGACACGTCTCCCACCCCCGAACTGACGACGTGTAGGGATGACGGACCCACATTGACATCGGTACCTAGGTAGTCCCATGCCGTAGAGCGGGAACGGCTGTGTGCATGTAGCGGGGCTTTTACAGCTTTCATCCTGGATACAACACTGCGAGGTTCCTGAGCTTAGCCCAGCCCAGGTGCAGTGTCTGAGACTTTAAAGACACCTTCATAATTATTGCCTGCCTGGTAGTAGCAGCATACATAACAAGATTGGAAGTGCCTGGTCTTGCTCACGTGTCTACATCATTGTCAAAACAATGGCTAGACACAGATATATTTAGACATGTATGTAATTGGAAGAATTCCTGTAAGCCACCCCCTCTATTGAGCATTGCAACTTTCCGTATTGTTAAGAGCGGATTTTACATGCCCATTGAGACGTAATCTGCTAGTGGGACATCAAGGTGTGCACCCTCTTACAGGCCCGTCAACTGATAAGTAGGTACCAAGCTGCTTTCCTTGAGAACCTCTTCGGACAAGGTACGGAAACCCTGCTGGGCAATCACAAGAACTGCTGTTGGCTCTTGATGTTCCATATCCATAAATTGGCAAGGAAGCAACAAACTCCGCGAATCGGGGCCGGACCAGTGGATTGACACACTATCTACTGAGCTATTCCTCCTCGGCCTCAATGCATCCGCCAAAGCCAGAATTCTCAGCAGATTTGGGCGGCATTTGCACGTCCCGAAACCACACGCGAGAAATCAACACAGTCTCTAAGGGGTATCATATCGAACAACTTCAAGTGCTTCCCGCCCGCCCGTCTCATCTAGCCTCTGACCACCGAAAACGTCCTTGTATCAGCCTCATCAGTCCAGCCGCTCCGTCAGAGACTTGATGACACGCGCGTAAAACTTTGCCGCATGTGGTCGAGGAAATTCGATCTCTTCAACAAGGAAGTCGGGCAGCATGTCGATAAGTTCGCGATCTCTGTTAGAGTCCAATTGTGGCTTGTACGTGAAATGGGCCTCCTCGTAATTCTCGCCGGAGCTCTCGTTCTCGACTTCAAGTTTGAAGTGAAGGGCTGCGGAGGTTAGTATGATGAGATAAGTATTGGTAAAAACGATGACTTACTTCCGTTTCTCCCCGTTTGTATGCAATCAAAGACTTGGCCCGCCGAGTCACGCTTGGTGACCCTGACAATCAAGCCGGTTAAATCTCCATAAAGATCCTCTTTCAATTGTCCCGTTTGCACAACATCCGCGCTAGCGATGGCTCTGGCAGCTGCGCTTGAACCCTTGACGGCGCTCCCAGGTATGACCTTGGCACTAGCTGCAGCTTCAGCAGACCTGCTCGCGGCTAGGCGCGTCGTCAGGGTCTTGATTTCCTGCTTTGCGTCGGTGAGGGAAGTCGTCAGAGCTGACACCTTTGCCTCCATTTCTTCCAGTTGCTTTTTGCGTTGTTGCCCTTCTTTGGCCAAGCTACGTTGCTCTGCAAGGTCGGCCTTGAGATGCGCAATGAGTTCGTTCGCAGCTTCATCCTATTAGCAATGTGCTACCCCTACACTTGGCATTTGGCACTCACTTTTGGCTCTTTCTTCACTCTCTTTTTTGAGATTATCAAAGTTCCGTTCTGCCGCCTTGACCCCGATGTCCCGAAGATCGCGATATCTTGCTTCCAGGTTATCGTACTTTCTGATGGTGTCGCCCAAGCGCCTCCGGATTTGCACATCACTAGCATCCAAGTCTGGATTACCGCTCGTCCGATTAACGCGATGCGTTGACGGCTTTGGCACCGGTAGCTCGTCGAATTGGTCATCACCTTCCGTATCGATGTCCATAACATCTTGAGCCTGCGTCTCTGGAATTTCGGACTCATCACTTCGAGTGACCTTTGCTCCTGCACCACGCCCTCGCTTAGTCGATTTTGTGGTATCCTTCGTAGTAGAATTCGGCACTCCTTTCGATGTGTCGGTAGTCGTCGCTATCGTAGCTGCTGCTTTCGGTCGCCCTCTCGTCTTCGCTGTAGTCGCCTTCACCGCTGGAGCAGTGTCCTCTTCTGATTCGGCCATACTGTCGACGTCAGACGCATCATTCTCCTCGTCCCCGTCCTCGGCATCCTCCTCTTGGATCTCGACCTTCTCGGCAGCCTTGCGACCTCGCTTCGAGACCTTGCCACTCGCCTTGCTCGACGTGTCGTTGATGGCCTCTTCTCCAGCTTTGCTAATCGCCGCTGCAAGTTTTCCAGCCGCGCGACCCTTTGTAGTCTTCTGGGCAGGCTTTGTGACTTTGTTGGCAGCTGGTGGCCTGCCCCTAGCCTTCTTCGCCGGCGACATCTTGGTTAGGTTCGAGGTAATGATCTTAGCGCCGGGGACAGGAGGTCGTCAAATTTTGTGTTCCAGTCTGATTCAGATGAAAGCGCAGTATGCGATATTTGCACCACTAATTGGATCGGAGGTTGATGCAAATAGGCGGGGTGTATCGGTGCAGCACAATCGCCGCCAGGATAGCCAACGCGCCGGAGAGAAACGTTTCGTGTCGCGCGGGAGGGGTCCGTGGATTATCGGCGCGGGGGAAGTGGGCGTGTATTTAGAATATCGAATAACATTTGTTTTGCACTTAGACTGAGGTGATCGATGTCAGACGGGTGCGTTGGTCATGATAGCAGGGCAAGCGCAAGTGAGGAAATACAGCTTGCGATGAAAAAGTAAACAAAGCCGCGGTGCGACAGCCACCCAATTGCTACCTCGCCTTCGGTGCTCCTAGGCGACCCTAGGCGGGCCGCGGTAAGGTGCTCAACTCGCCTAGAAGGACATGCTTATCCCGGTACCTGGCTGCTACCTTACCTACCTTAGGTACTTAAGGTACAATTAGGTATCTAGGTGCCTAGGAACCCTACCTTACCTAACTACCTTGGTACCCTACTGCGTACCTAGCTTATCGGCTTACCTGGGAGGTTAGGTAAGGCAGGTATCTGGTAGACTGGAGGTAGGTTCCTTAGGTAAGACACCTCAGTGCCGTTTTGCATGTGGCTGGCGGTGCGCTCTCCAGCGGAGTACGGCGAAAGGTGGCTCGAAAATTTACTGGCCACCCTTGCGAACCGCGGGTGGCGTTGTCGGCTCGATTCAATTCTCTGGGGCGTTGGACACGTCTATTTCGTCGCCGGTTATAATACTCTATCCCGTCACTTGGACACGCTCTTGCCGAACCACCGGACGAATTTCTTTCCAGCGCGAGAGCGAGAAAGGATCTCTTTCTGCTCACGGTCCCGACGATACTTACCTTAGAACATATACCATTACACGTCAATAAACCACCGAGAGTTATCAAACTAGTCCGTTTCGATCGTACCGTGCCGGCCCTCTGCCGCAACGCCAACACTGATGACGGGCGACCTTGACCGTTGGCTGGGTTCCGTCGGAAAGCTTCTCGGCATGGGTGACCGAAAGAAGGGCCTGGGCGATTTCGCCCTGGACTTGCTGTTGGTTGCTGGTATGGTGGGTAGACAGCATCATCAGAAGCACATGTTTGGATCCGAATGTTAACCGCGCTCTAGATGGCAACCGGCGTTTACCTCGCAAGAAACTTCCTTTCTTCCCTCACGAATACCCTCGCCGACCCCGATCGAGAGAAACATGAGCAAGCACGGCTACAGGCCAAGGCTCATCTAGAGCGCTTGCGCAAAGGCAAGAACGCGGGTAAACCTGGCGAAGAACCATCAGATGATGGCAACGTCTCTCGTCGCGGACCAAAGCCGGAAGAGTTGGTGTTGAATGAATATGAGAACCTCATTGCACTTGAGATGGTGGCTCCGGAAGATATCCCAATCGGCTTCGCTGGTAAGTGCCTTGTTCATCTGATGAATCAGCACCAGGGATATTGCTAACGGCTTATGACAGACATCGGTGGCTTGGAGGACATTATTGATGAACTCAAGGAATCCGTCATTTACCCGTTGACTATGCCGCACTTGTATTCCCACGCGGCGCCATTGCTATCTGCACCCTCTGGCGTGCTACTCTATGGCCCTCCAGGATGCGGTAAAACTATGCTGGCCAAGGCAGTCGCTCACGAAAGCGGTGCTTCCTTCATCAACCTCCATATTTCGACAGTGACAGAGAAATGGTACGGCGACTCGAACAAGCTGGTCCGAGCTGTGTTTTCGTTGGCTCGCAAGATGCAGCCCGCCATCATCTTCATTGATGAGATCGACGCGGTCTTGGGCACAAGAAGGAGCGGCGAGCACGAGGCCAGCGGAATGGTCAAGGCTGAGTAAGTGCTGAATCAGAGATCCCATTGTTTCCCGTCACTAACAATTCAGGTTCATGACCCTGTGGGATGGATTGACGTCGTCAAATTCTTCAGGCATGCCAGCAAGGATCGTTGTTCTCGGTGCCACCAACAGAATACACGACATCGATGAGGCTATTCTCAGGCGAATGCCCAAGAAATTCCCGGTGTCTCTTCCTGGCAAGGAGCAGCGACAACGTATCCTGCAGCTCATTCTGAAGGATACAAAGACAGACCCCGAGTTTAGTGTGGAGTATATTACCAAAGTCACAGCTGGCATGTCAGGCAGCGATATCAAAGAAGCATGCCGTGATGCTGCTATGGCACCAGTCCGTGAATACATGCGAGAGCATCGGGCGAGCGGAAACTCCATGTCGAGTATCACACCAGAGAACTTCAGAGGTATCCGTACAGAGGACTTCTTTGGTCGCAAGGGTGGAGGTCAAATCTTGATGGATAACCATGCAAAACACTCCAAGGCGTCGAGGTCATCGGCAGACGAGTACGAAGATATTGTCGAAGAGCTGGGTTGATTTGGCTAGGAATTTGGACTGTGTGAATGGAAATGAAAGACGCAGCAGAGGTCTGCTCTGAAAGGGTAGTGCTCTTTTACTCGATATGTCGTGAACAACCATACAACATGGTTGCCTGCAAGTGGGCAACTTACGCAATTCATGCTAGAATGAGACGTTTGTACAAATAAATGTACCGATACAAGGAGGAAACGAATACTGAAATGCCATCTTTTTACGCGAGAGAACTTGCCAATCTCAAGCATTGGTCGCCCTACCAGCAGCACCTGAGATTCCCTCTTTTGTACACCAAGGCTGCAACGACTTTTGATTCGAATTGTCCATTGTCTCAGTATTGTTGAGAAGACGCCATAACCCTAAGGTGAGAACTAGGCCAGGCACACAGGCATGCCGCACCAGAGCACACTCAGGTACAGACGGCAGTCAGATGTGTCAAGCATGATGCGCCGACGTTGATTTGTTACCATCCAGGCGCGCCAGCGCAGTGTGCCAATCCAATGCCGCGCCTTTTCCCCGGCCAACATTCCAATCGGACCACTACCGTGTCGCCCCCGCCGTTTCCAGGGTTCATGCCGCCCCGCCATCGCCGACTTTCGGGGCACGCTGCGCACACCGACAAATCACGTCATCAGCAAGGGCCCACACCTTGGGTTGTCCAGTGCTGTTGGAGTCACACGCTCCGTCCCCCAAAAGCCCGCCGTCGGCCCTCACTTAACGTCCCTGTAAAACTTCTCCTGTACACACCTGCAAGTTCCTATCAGCTCTCTCAACCTTCTCGTCAATTACCTCTGCTTTTCAATCGAGTACGCCGGTGCTGCGTTTGGACAATTGACTTGCTGAGCAATTCAGTCTGTCCGCGGCGACAAGTCTGGCTCTTAAAGGAGACCAGCGGTAGTACTGTACTCGATCCCGAACGCCTCCCGGACCTTCCTAACCGTCCTTCGTCCTCTCGTCCCTATCGAACATCAAGTGCGACGACGTACAGGCATCGACTGGTCAAGATACATTCGTCGAATCGCTCAATCCAAGAAAGACTCGTTCAATTGCCGCTGCCAACCAGATCAGCCGGCAGCTCCTTGATACTAGTGCTACCCCGCCATTGCTACCTACGCTTTGTCTCACCATGTCTACACCGCCTAACAACGGAGCGACATCTAAGTCCAGCGACCCCCTCAAGCGGGTGGACCTTGACGGACACGATCTTCCTCCTTCTCCCGCGCCGTCTAGCCCTCGCAACGGTCGTCGTCGCTATGCCCTCGCCACGGAGCTGGTCTACACTGACAGCAACGACCAGTATGGCGCATCCAGCATCCCCATCTATCAGTCCGCCACCTTCAAGCAGACCAGTGCCACTGGTGGTGGGGAGTACGACTACACCAGGTCCGGCAACCCGACTCGCACTCATCTTGAGCGCCACCTGGCCAAGATTATGAATGCCACGAGGGCTCTGGCTGTCGGCTCCGGCATGGGTGCTTTGGATGTCATTTCCCGCTTGTTGCGCCCCGGCGATGAGGTGATCACCGGCGATGACTTGTACGGAGGCACCAACCGCCTTCTCACTTACTTGGCTTCCAACCAGGGTATTGTTGTTCACCATGTCGACACTACCAATGTGGAGAACATTCGTCCCGTCATCTCTGAAAAGACGGCCATGGTCCTGCTGGAGACCCCGACGAACCCTCTTATCAAGGTCGTCGACATCCCCTCCATTGCTAAGCTTGTTCACGAGGCCAACGACAAGGCTTTGGTCGTTGTGGACAACACCATGCTCTCGCCAATGCTCCTGAACCCACTGGATATTGGTGCAGATATCGTCTACGAGTCCGGAACAAAGTATTTGTCTGGACACCATGACATCATGGCTGGTGTCATTGGTGTCAACGATACCGAGATTGGCAACAAGCTGTACTTCACCATCAACTCCACCGGGTGCGGCCTGTCGCCTAATGACTCTTTCTTGCTTATGAGAGGCATCAAGACACTTGCTATCCGCATGGAGAAGCAGCAAGCCAACGCTCAGCAAATTGCCGAGTTCCTTGAGTCCCATGGTTTCAAGGTTCGATACCCAGGACTCAAGTCGCACCCCCAGTACGACCTGCACTGGTCTATGGCACGAGGTGCAGGTGCCGTTTTGTCGTTCGAGACCGGCGACGCGGCGCTTTCGGAGAGAATCGTCGAAGCCGCTAAGCTGTACAGTATCAGCGTTAGCTTCGGCTGTGTAAACAGTCTGATCAGTATGCCCTGCCAGATGAGCCACGCCAGCATCGACGCCAAGACCCGGAAGGAGAGGCAGATGCCGGAAGACCTCATCCGCTTGTGCGTGGGCATCGAGGATGCTACGGACTTGATTGAAGACCTCTCGCGAGCTGTAAGTGTTGTCGACTGAAATCTCCTCCAAGACACCCATACTGACTTCTGTCGTAGCTTGTTCAGGCCGGTGCGGTCAACGTGACCTTGGACGGGTTTCACGCGACTGAGGCTGTCCAGCAGGCTTGAAGGACTCTCCGTGGAGGCGGGAGCTTGACTACCGAGGCCTGAGGTGATTGGGTCAAAGAGTAGTCAACCGCACGCGTTATGTGTGAGTGGAAGAAAATCCACTTTCGAAACACAACAGCGTTGGGGCTCGGTACGCTCGATATGCGTTGGAAAATCAAAAAAAGAAAAAGGGGTAAACGGAAAGCGTGAATAGCTTAGAGAATTCGGCTACTTTGTGTCGACCTAATCTACCCGGAAACGGAATCGTTCCTTGACCGCACCTTGTATGTTTCGCGAGTTTTGACAGCGAATGCGCCCAGTTGACCAGATGAGGCGTTGCGTTTTCTCACTCCATTATATGTGCTCATGGCGCCGGAAGTAAACAGACCAGCATCATACAAACGAATCATGTATAAACTAACGGAGTAGTACAATGCCATTCAACTAACTATTCACTATTGCCTCTTAGACTATGCAACCCAAAATCGTTCCGCTCTGACAAGACTGAGAAACCACCCAATACTATTTATACAGATATCTAGGAAAAGTCGAAGCGGTCTGGGAGGACGACTGGAGCCACCAGTGTCCAAGCATACATGGCGTAGCAAACCCAAGCGCTCACAATCTTCACCCAACTGGCCCAGTAAGACCGGCCGACAGGAGCAAAGTTGCCATCGGCATTTTGGTCGTCGTAGCTCTGGGTAAGCAATGTCGCAATCCACGCCGTGGCCAAGAAGAAGATGATGTGGAAGACGGTGTAGCTGTACTGCGTCTGCGAGCGCTCGTCGTCACCGTGGACACGACTGCCGCCAGCCTCGCTCTCGTCGTCGGACAAGAGAGCATCCGCCGGCAAGCTTCCCTCCTCAACGGCACGACGTAATGCCTCCGCCCGCATTTGTTTCTGGGCGCTGGGCTGGTGGGTGACGAGATCGTGCTCATCTTCCTCTGGGAGACGGATGCCGCCGGAAGAACCAAGTCCAAGGCTCTGAGTCGCCGCCCGTGTCGTAGTGTACGCAATTGTGAGCATGGTGACGACGGCGCCAATCACAATGGATGTGGTGCGGGTTCCCTGAGCGCGGATCAGGGGGTTGCATTGCTTGTCATCGGGTTCCATCGAAACAGCGGACATGGTGAGGTAGGTGCAGTATACGGCGACCATGGCACCCTGGGCAAGACCAGCCTTGGGGTTGTATTCCTGAATGGTGGGATGGACCGAGATGAAAGAAATTCCAATCCACAGCAGGAGGTTGATCGTAATCGCTGCTTGGTTCATGGAGCAACCGGATCCGGCGAAGAAGATGTACTGGACGATGGTCATGGCGAGTGAAGCAAGATACATGCCCAACGTAGAACCGATGAGAACCGTCCGCCAAACCTTGGAGTCGGTCTCTTCAATCTGTTCGAGACAATACTCGGCCCAGTTATGGGCGAGATCAACAAGCAAGATAAGGCCGAGGATGAGGAACAACATGCCGCCGAATCGGGCAATATAGGCGCCGTAGAACTGGAAGAATTCGTCGGGAATCAAGAAGGAGAGGACGATGAAGGCAAGCCACACGATGACTTTGGGTCCCCAGTAGCCATTCTGAATAGCGGCGCGAGGGTTCTTGGAAGATGTTACACCGAACAGAAGCCCGGCGAGTATGAGATGGAAGAGACCGAGAGCGAAGTTGAAGCGGTGGACCGCCATCCACCCGTAGCATTGGCCGTTGGGACAGTCAATTTTGACGTAGTCGAGCATAAGATGTTCCAGCTTCTTGATAGCCCACGGGGTGAGCATGATCCATGACAGGATCGAGTTGACGAGGAGCATGACTGCGTAGCCGATGCGGGTGGCGACACTACAATGAAGTCAGTACCAAGAGTGGTGTGTTCACGGGGTGGGGGAAGAATTACCTGTTGCCGCACTTCCCACAGGCGCTGCAGACTGCAGAGCAAGTTGCTGCACCGCAGCAACTGGCAGCGAAGCCGATGAGCTGTAAAGTATTAGCTTGTGAAGTGAAGATAGGCTCTACAAGCCGTAGAGAAAGGAATCGGAGGGGACTCGTCGTACCGTGCCCATGCTCGGCACCGCCATCAGCGGCAACGAAAGCAAAGCACCCATGGCGCCGGTTTCCTACAGTGTGTGCTATCGATCTCAAGGGTGTAAACGTCGGTTCGGCGAGGGTTGCGCTGGAAAGATTGAGGTGTCGCGTCGTTGATGTCTTTGCGAGATGCCTTACGTCGGCGCGGCGCAGTATGGATCAGGTAGAGAGGTAGCTTGCAGGCCGGACCTACCTGGGTAACGAGCCACAGAGGGTGGGTCCATCTGTGGAGGCTGGGATACACGTGAGATTACGTAGTCTCTACTGTGGCTCCCTACCCGGATCCGAACCCCGGATTCCAGAACTCTCCGCCGAAGTCGGCCATCCACTATCGGCAATTCTGCACCGATTCCCGACATCTTTCGCCTACCTGGCACCGAGTGAAGTGAAGCTATTTACACCTGCCTTTTCTGCTCGACCTCAGTTACCTTATCGCGACGATCCCGACGCGGACATCTGAGAAGCCGCTGGCTAGCCCTACCATATCACCCATTATTCGTTATCCAAGCAGCCTCAAAAGCAAGCTTCTCGTTTGAAAACCAGCCCGCTCATCGTACAAATCAATAATTTGCTGCCTCAACCAGAAACTATCTCGTCTTTACCAGTACACTTGCGTTCCTAAATTTTGCCTCTGATTTGCGATCCGGATCTTCCTCAGACTGAACCGCTTACCATTCTCACCCAAGTGTACCATGGTCAATGGAATGGGGACAAGAGTCTCAAACAGAAAGAAGACAAGACTGTGAAGCTGCAGATGGCTGGTCGTAAAGGGAGCGGGGTTGCTACATTCGACGTGGTCGTGCTGTATTGCGTGCGACAATCCCCATCTGTGGAATCCACACTTAGAGTCTGATTCGTTGTATATGGTGCAAGTCTGTGTTGCGCAACCCGAACACCATCTAATTATCTTGTCCCACACATACTACATACACATCAAAAGTCCTACGTGAACTGGACCTAGCTTTACTTGACTTTGAGAACTTCGACAGTCGAAATGGTAACTAGACTTTTGCTCACTTGCTGGTTTCGAACCGGCCTCGTGGATTTGCCTGCAGTGGCCTCACTAGTCCAGGTCTAAGGCTATTGGAGGGTGAAATGATACTCACGAGAACTGTATTCTCTACTAGCGTAGCGTCTATGATGTCTTACAAGGAGATCAAGTGATTGAGCGTTCCCCATGTGTCGCGCGAACTGTTCCAGCGCCGTGGAAGAACAGCCGACTATGTTCGGCTGACTTATTCGAAATTGCCGACATTGACACAAAACCCGCTGAGACAATCAGCCCAACTGACCGGGCACACACACATAGGTAGTATACTGTTAATTCAAGTAAGCAGGCATGATGAAGGGCGGCGGCGCATGGGTTTCCATATTCCAGCCGCGCAGTTGACACATGCACGCGCCACCACCCTTCCCTGCCGCGCCTGAAAGGAAGTTAGGGAAACAGAAACGCAGCGCACTTCAGCGGCAGGCCAAGATGCCGAGGAGGACAGAAGTACCGGGTACGAGACCCTTTACGTAGCCAATATGTAATACGCACAGCGTCATTGGTACTCGTTACGTAGTGTATTTGTCTTCTCGGCAGGGCAGTTACGGCATCTTACGGCATTGCAGCTTAGCCTTCAGGGGCATCCTCCAGGGCTCCGAATCCCTACCTTATTTCCCATTACCTTCCCAGTTGAACTGCATGCGCGGCCCCAAAAGAATGGATTCGTGATTCCCGCCCGTAGATAAGGGATCCGATCCGGCATCGTTCCCGTTTCGTTTTCCGACTCAACGAAGCTTCCCGCTGCCCCTCGACAACCTCTATCTTTCCTCTCCCCCCTACCTTACTGTGCCTCCTTCTTACGATTCCGATTCCTCTAGTCTTCAGACAACGCCCGAGTCTTCATGTCGCATGCTACTGGCTTCGTCGATATCGATATGAACACTGCTCCTCCGATAGTACACTAAAACACCAAAACACCTACCATAACCCCAACCGTCGCAAAAGACCCTCCCCTCTCCCCGACTCTTCGCCGTCATCGGTGCCGATTATCGCTGCCGTCTCTCGCCGACGAACAATCTTCCTTCCGCCACCAGGCGGCCGAAGCATGATATCTTGAGAACATCATTCCATCGTCGCCTAGTCTGCAGAAGCAATGTCAGGTCCACGGGAGAAAGAGCTGCACCGCGCTCGGCTGGTTGCCAGCGTTGCAGCCACGGTCATTTCTCTAGCATGCGGTACCAACGTGAGTTGGCGCGATCGGATCACATCCCTGCCAGACCTACCTTCACTCCAATGTGAATCATGAGCTGATATGTCCCTGCTTTACAGTACGTTTACTCGGCGTGGTCCCCTCAATTTGCCGAGCGATTGAAGCTCTCCTCGACCGAAACGAATCTCATTGGCCTTTCCGCCAATCTGGGAATGTACTCTTTGGGCGTTCCTGTCGGCATGCTCGTTGATCACAAAGGACCTCGCTCCGCTGTCATTATTGGCTCCGTCCTGCTCGCCCTCGGATACTTCCCGTTCCACATCGCCTACGATCGCGCGGCTGGCCCCGTGCCGCTTCTCTGCTTCTTTTCATACCTGTCTGGCCTCGGCGGATGTCTGGCTTTCGCCGCCTCTGTCAAGACATCCGCTCTCAATTGGCCTCATCATCGGGGGACTGCCACCGCTTTCCCCCTGGCTGCTTTTGGTCTGAGTGCCTTCTTCTTTTCGACGTTTGGGAGTCTATTCTTCCCCGGGAACACCAGCGCTTTCCTGGCCTTACTGTCCATCGGGACCTGCGGTTTAACCTTCTTCGGTTTCTTCTTCCTGCGCGTCTATCCTCATGCCACCTATCACAGCCTGCCAGCAAGCGATGGTCTTTCCGGCTCGCAACAGCTTCGACGCACTTCTTCGGAAGAGGCTAAGCCCAACCGACCCGGCTATGGGCACCGCGGCGCTCCGGTTGAACCTGGTACGTCGCCCAAACTTAACAATACCACTACCACAATCAACTCCACCGCCGACCACGAGCCGGTTCATCCCGAGTACGAATCGTCCGCGCCGTCTCGCGAGGCTGATGAGGCGCAAATCGAAGCCGTCGAAGCCGATGATTATGAGCCCGACGAGACGTCCTCGCTGGTGTCGAGCTCCTCTTCTATGCCCGGTGATGTCTTTGTGCAGAGCAGTGTTGATCTGGATCGTTCTCATCGAGTAGATATTCGTGGCTGGGCTCTTTTGCGTGAAATCGATTTTTGGCAATTTTTCCTCATCATGGGCATTCTTACTGGTATCGGTTTGATGACAATCAAGTGAGTATCAGTATTTGGCTAACCTGTGATATTCTTTGGCATTAACAAAATCTCCAGCAACATTGGAAACGACGTAAAGGCCCTCTGGCGTCATTATGACGAGTCGGTGGATGAGGCCTACCTCATCACGAAGCAGCAGATGCACGTGTCCATTCTATCGATTGGAAGCTTCGCAGGCAGACTTCTCAGCGGTATGATGCTTTAGTCTATCACCCATCCAAAGTTTCAAGCTGACTTGGGCTGCGATAGGTGTCGGCTCCGACTTTATCGTAAAAGTCCTTCACGGCAGTCGAGTGTGGTGCCTTGTGGCATCCAGTGCCGTGTTCTTCGTGGCACAGCTCATGGCCCTCCACGTCACTAACCCTCATCTGCTTGGACTGGTCTCAGGCCTGTCTGGTATCGCGTACGGTTTCCTCTTCGGGGTCTTCCCTTCCATCGTGGCCGAGACCTTTGGTATTCACGGCCTGAGCCAGAACTGGGGGCTTATGACGCTCTCGCCCGTGGTGTCTGGTAACGTATTCAACATCTTCTACGGCAGAATCTACGACAGGCACAGCGTCGTGGGCCCGGATGGCGAGCGCGTCTGCCACGACGGGCTGGACTGCTATCGTGCGGCTTATTTGATGACACTTGGCGCATGCTCAATCGGGCTGGTGCTCACCCTGTGGGTCATCCGTCACCAGCGAGTGAAGTGGGCAAAAGAGGAGAAGATGAAGGCGGAGCAGGATGACTGAGATACATTGCTCAGGGTGAATCCAAAAGTGTAGGAGGGCGATGAGGGAGGTCCAAAACTGTCCCTTACAACTCTTGACACGAAGTCGTCTCTGCGAACACGGCCGGCTGTCAAGTCCTCAACATAGATTTAACGTCAACGGCCATAGATAACTCATAGAGGGAAGGCGTTCGGGGCAGCTGTTGATTAGTTTTTCGGTTCATGAGTATCGACACTCGCTACCACAGCGGACATCAATGAGAAATTGTAATTCGTCTTTACCCCTGTTGTATACCCAACTTGATTCACGGAATTGAGTACTATAGGATCGGTGAAATTCACTTTAAGTATTGGGAGCTTCCATCATTGTTGGTGGGTGCTATACCACGGTCGTCTTTCGCGTTGAGCGCCTCATCTGCACTCCTCCTTTCTGACTAGTGAGGGTGTCCTTTACTGGGCACTACATCTCTACACGGGTAAACCCAAAGAGATCTTCATCCGTCAACGTATTAAAAACGAGACACGGTGTCCCAACGTCAAACTAGAACAACACCGCGTCGCGACATTACACAATATCGTCTGAAGCGGACCTCCACCTCGTCCCCTATTTAAGGAATTGTTGTCCCACCTCATCGAATCACCCTTCCGGCGGGCGCTACTTGCAATGCAATGGTGCCCGGGCGGAGAGTAGGTAGAGGGGAAAAAGCCAAGGATACTTCCTGACACATCATAGCCCGGTCCTCTGGAATAATATATGTTCATCCCAACTCCTCTAACCAAAAAAAAAGTGTGAATCGTACTAAACTCCCAGCCGATGCAAGATGCAGATGGACAAACAGTGATGAAAACACGGGATATTGTAGCGACACCATTGTCACTAAAGACTGGTATCAGCCTACTACCGAGATAGCGTCTGTCGAGCTCTAGATGGGAAAATCCGAGACCATCTATTATGAAGAAAAGAGAAGACTCCCTGTGAGTTGAATGTCGTTCGCCGACGACCCAACTTAAACTGTAGTATGTACAGCGCGGAGCGATTAGAGCGAATGGGTATTACTGTTCTCGCCGACCGAGTTCTTGAACAGACCCAACACGAACAATGATATCCCACCAAGTGAAGAAAATCGAGTGCCTATCTCGTCCTCATGGAGTTTTGCCACGTTTACGGTCTTCTTGATGGCCGTCAAATATTGAACTAAACCCAGCGAGGGGCCAGTTGTCTGTAGTCGAGTGAATAACAACCAGCCAGGCAGCTATCAAATTGACGAGATAGTGCAGCATGTAGGCGTAGGAAACACCATAAATAGCAGCGTAGATAGCTGTGCCAAAGAGTAATACGCTTGTGAGATATCTCATCCTGCCCGTGACTCTAGGAACCATCCTGCCGGTGGTCAAGTTCTCCACCAATAATATGAACGGCATAATCGATAGCACGTTATGGTGCGAAGAGAAGGGCGTGAGCCAGTGGACGGCAAGGTTGCGAATCCACACTGCCAGAATGGGTAGATTGATAGGAAGGACCCAGAGCATGAGAAGCAGAATCGAGTGGGCGTAGTGGTAAAAATCTTGGGTAAGTCCAGATTTGACTTCTGAGGCAATCCGATGAGCACGGACGACGGTGAATAGCTGAACGAGACATGCTACCAAGTACGCAAATTGATAGGGTATAAATGTGGATACCAGGAATAGCAGGACGGCGGTTGTTATCATACGACGTCGAGGAGAGGATGCAACGAAGATAGGTAACTGCGGCCTTCGGCGCTCATCACGCCCGGCTGCGAATGGTCGCAGAGCTATCCAAGCGTAGAGAATGCCGAGAATCTGAGTCAATGCCAGGGTGACAAAGTGAAGACAGGCGCACACCCCTACACAGACGACTCCGATTAGGGGGATCAGAAACCAGAAGAAGGGATCCTGGGTGCCTGTCAGAAGATCGTTGCTGTGAAAGTCGGCTTCCGCTGAAGTCGTGTTGCGCCAGTGCCAGAATACGCCAGGGCCGGATGACCACGATCCAGTCATTGACAAGGAGAGGAATGTCAAGGAAAGGAACATCAGCGGCAGTGATTGCCGTAAGCAAAGATCCAAGCTTTCCGAGAAAGATATGAAGGCTCCAGTCGTGTCGTAGATCCGGAACTGCTTGCGAAGCACGAGAGCCACCACAAGCAATGGGAAGGCCGCAAATACAGTTCGATAACGCATGTACAGCTTTCCCAAGCTCCCCAACGGATCGACTGTCAGCGTAACTTGGATTGCGGATTCGCAGGTTGGATCGGTCCAAAACTGGAGGCTGAGTCCCTGCTCGTGTTGAAGCTTGTGCCTAAGAGGGGGCGGAACGAATGGGGCCACGCCATGCAAACTGATGCTAGCATGCCTAGCGTTTACGAAAAACTTGGACTCGTATGGCTGAGCCAGATGTTGCCGTATGAGAGGTGAGAACAGTCCGGAGGATGAACCGCAAGCCTGATTGCCAATCTCCAGGTTGTATGCCAGTAGACTCGATTGAATGGTAGGAATGCTGATTTCGGCAACCAAGGGACGGTTCGCAGGTAGTCGCAACGTCATTCCAAACGCGAGAATTCGACGCAGGCTGATACTACGCCTTCTATGTGACTGCGAATGATCGCTGAATTCGGCCACAACAAAGTTTGGAGTTGGCTTCGCCGCCTTGTCTATGACGGCTATGAATTGGTGGTCTGCAATGTCCTCGATATCAAACTGAAGATAGGAGAATGGTCTTGTCACTGGCTCATTCTCCGAGGCAAAGGGCTGATGAAGCATTCTCGTCGAAGGGGGGAGCAGAATGGCGTCGGTCGCAGCATTCTTGCAGGCCAATCTTGTAGACCCAGTGCTATCGCCTGAGAGGTCCATGTGTGTTGAGAACAACGTTGTCGACTGTCCAGGCTGCAAAGGGAAAACGCTGCAAAGCAGGACCTCGAGCTTTCCATGTTCTCCTGGCTTGTCCAATGCGCTGTCGGTCAGTAGGGTGAAGCGCTTTCCTTCTGGGGATCCTTGGGGAGGTACTGGAAGCAGGTGAGCTGTGATTTTCGAGTCGTGGCCGAGCTGTCGCAAGACGAGGCGTTCGCCTTGTGCCTTGATGGCGTTTGAGTTGTCCTCGAGTGTCAGAAGTGTGCTTGGCCCCTCAAATGCCATGGTCTGCTCAGCGATCGACTCCATGCCAGTAAGGAAGTACTTCTTGAAAACCCGCATTCTCTCAGCCCTGGGCTTAGTCTGCGAAGATCTGTGGACATCGACTACGTCGTACATGGCGCGAGCAACAACTTTCCGAAATTGGTCGCACCATAGAATGGCCTGGTGATCCATACTAGTCCAAACACCTGGAATTCCGGTGGTGAAGACAGTGAAGCCGTGCGTCTCGGGGATTATCGGCTCGATGCTTGCGTAGTCGGACGGAACGACCGTGTCTAAGCCACCTCCAGCGATTGAGACAAGAGTAACATGCCACAACGGATTGTTGTTGGCCCATTTCTGTGAGTAGGCGTGACGCCAGTAGTCATTGATATCATCGTATATCTTGACAATCTGTCCGTCGAAGGTAACAGGGGGACGCGAGTGTGGCGCAGACATGGTTATAATGGTGTTGATCGAGTTGGACTGGTAGTTCGGCATGATGAGCATGGTGCGCGCGACGATACCACCCATCGAATGACCGAGTACCAAGACAGAGGTTGGATCTGGCAAGTCCTGGTCTCGAGCTGACATGCGCGGGTCCATGTAGAGCGACAAGATGTACCTGATGGCTTCGTTCAAGTACTCGGCCTGATCCAACATGGTCTGTCCGTGGAAGGCGGTGATATCCTCGTTGAAGTCAACTGTAAAGAAATCGAGATTCCTGGCGCCGGCTGCAACAGCAGTTTCATCGTGTTGAAGAGACTCGTGGTAGTAGTTTGCAGCTTCAGCGGCTATGGGTCGAACTTGTTTGTAACTTCCGGCATTACCTGGGATGAAGAGTACGGGAACGCCTCTCAGCTGTGAAAGGTCAGCGATCTGCCATAGCCCTGGCGCAAGAAACAAGACGCACCTTTCTTTCGTCGTCAACACCCTGCTCACGATACAGGTATAGCGAGTATTTGGTCGCAAACCGGGTGTGTTCGGTATCGAAGTCACGAAGACGAATGTAGGAAGGTCGCATGTACGACATGCGGCATCCCTTGGCATCGAGCTGGCGAGTCCATGACGAGTTCAATATAGCGCATAGCAGAGTAATCCCAAGAACGGTGACAGTCAGCGTGAATATGGTAACGGACCAAGGGCTTCGGAATCGAGAGCGGCGACCGGCGAAGCGCACATCGGGCATCTTCTCTGCGGTCATGGTAGTTTGATCTTCTCGCCGAGTGTCTACGATGCCGTCGCGGAGGCTTTCCCCGTCGCCTTTAACGTCGTCGTGATCGCTATCGAAATACTTGTCGTCGTTCGGCGTAGGCCGAAGTTCGTCGGCGACACTTTGGGAATGGTGGTGGAGTTTGTGGTTCGGCAGCTGGTTTGTGTGGTTTCGGTAGGCTGGCGATGGCGCGGCCAGGGATGGAACTGAGAGGGGTGACGATGGCAAGGCAGTTATGGGGTGGTTGTCGAGAATTGAATTCGCGTTCGGGCCATGTTCGAGCTTCCAATTGGGATTGTTTGACCGTCTACTCCTTGCGGATGACGATCTAGATGCGGCTCCTGCGGCAACAGTAACGGCAGCGGGTTGCTTGGGAAGAGGCGCAGAATTGCGACTTTGGGCGGGCTGTTGAACGACTGGAGGATCGACAAGAGGTTCGTCGCTGTCGTCGGTCGAACCCGACGAGCGCCTCTTCATGGGTGGAGAGGGCTCGATCGAGTCTTCCAAGAAAGGAAGCGTGTCGTTCAATCGAGCCGTTGAGGAACCTGTTGTTTTCCTGGCCAGGTGAGAGAGGGCGGCAAGGTGGAGGAAAACGAAAGTATGGACGACAGCGACGTCTCGAGGAAGAGAGACGTGCAGAGGGCTGTGGTGGTAGCAGGACGAGACGACGGGAAAGGACTTGTCCAGGAAAGAACGTGCCCTCGACCTGCCTTTCCTTGGGCGCGAACTGCTATTGTCGGGTCCGGGCCTCTGCTACCTACCACCTTAGTGGGTGCTAGTGGTACACTGGTACTTAGGGGTACTGGAATTTTGGAGGGTTCCTCCACTGTCGGTGCGTCTGTCACTGAGGTGCCGCTGGGGTGCTGCTGCTACAACGGTGGTCCTGACCCACGGATTCGAGTCGAGTCCCGCGTCCGTCTCCCGTTTCGTCACCACTGGCCTATCAGACAATGGAAGGAGAGATAAGATACCCACGACAAGGACGTGTGCCGAAGTACCACCTTTCCTCATTTCCAAAGAGGTACCTACCTACCTGGAAGTGAGATACTGTAGGTACCTATCTCCTTAAGAGGGTACTTACCTAGTAGGGACTTGGTGAAGAATACCTACGCAAAGCATCCGAATAGACGAATCCATTGCTATACCTAGATACACGCACATTGATGTGTACAGCCAAGACTCGAAGATGATTGTTACCCAGACACTACAGTGCAGTATCTTGGTCACTTGTGAAGTATGCAGCCAAGCTACCTTTATGAGACCAGAGAGATAAGGGTAACCGTAGTTGGTGGGATTGCGGCAAGCTTACTACCTAATTGTCTTCAGGCAGCTGATGATGCACTCAAGCCTCAATTCACGTCACGTCCGCGTGGAGCGCTCTACTTCCCGTTGCCTGCTTGTTCGTATGTACCTCAAGTTTCTGAAGGTCGGTCCCCACGTGCCCTTGCCGTAGGTACCTCGCAATACATACACATTTGTGCGGTATCCCATGTAGCATTTGACCCTTTCTCAAACCCCTTTGGCTCATCTCGCGCCTCGTCCGTCCACGCAACGTGGAACTGTACGATCCACATGCAATTGGGTTTCCAATGTCTCAGCCCCATCGCCTCCTTTCTCTGCTCCTTTATGAGCCCCTTCTACTCCGTACAAGACGCTGACTGGCACTGGAGCATAAGGCAAGGTAGAGTCTACAGCAAGTAGTACCAAAGTAGACACATGGCATGAAACCTGCTACAACTCCAAGTTGGTTGGCCGGTATGTTCAAACGTCCAGAGGGATTCCACATGAAAACGTAGCGGAGGCGGGAGTGATGGCTGAGAAAGGCTAAGAAACGCTGCAGAAACAAGCAATAAAATGGCTCTCGCGGCAAGCTGCGTGGTCCTCGATGCCCGAAGCGCCCGGCTCGACTCATGTTGTGCTTCAATAGCGTCAAATTGATGCGACCAGATTCGCCGGCCCAGCAGATAGAACTGGTTAGGTACTCCCGCCTACCCTGCCAGCCTACCAGCCCAGCCTGCTTCACCTTAGCTTACCTTGAGCCTGGATTTGAACATTATCTACGGAGTAACAAGGAAAATTCACATTCCATCAGCTCTGCAGCTCGCTCACCTCAGAAACCAACGTTGGTCTCCCGGGCTTCGGCACGCTTAACCTTCTAGGTTTTGTTCCCAGCCTCCCGTCTTTCCCGTCCTTTTGCCATTGTTCGGCTTCTCTCTCCCATTTCACCGGAGCTTCCCAAAGAATCCAAGATCTTTTTCTTCACTGTCCCCTCCTTCGCCCAATTTCTCGAGCTAGCCGGGCATCCCTGACCTCCCATGGTTTCTTGAATGTGACGTGAAACGTTTTCATGTCGTTTCTCCAGCGAGTGCAAACAAGATATCTGGTTTGGTTGGTTCAAATTCCTTCATATCAGTTGTCTTAGGTAGCACCCCGCATAAACTTAAATGCTGCATATATTTTCAACTCTGAGCTTGCCCATCATTCACGCCTCGCGCTGGCTCATCCTTCGTCACCGTTGGCTACCTCTTACTACGTGGTAGTGCTGGAATGTCCCCGACATTGCCGGTACCGTTTGCTTAATATCCGTACCCAGAAGCGAATACGCCCTCGACGGATGACAAAGATCGAGATGCTCAATCTCCCCAACAACCTCCATCCCAGCAATCCGAATCGAAGCACTAGTGCCTGCTTTCTGCAGCTTACCATGCTGCGCTGCTACGCATCCTGCCTGCTTCGGTCGAATTGATATCACTAACGCCGAAGTTGTCAGCGACGAACAACTTTCCTCACTTACCGGTTGCCAAGCTTTACCGAAGCAAAGAAAAAGAGAGAGAACGGCCCACACAGCTGTTTGGATCTATTGAGAAGTTACGGCTTCGTCTTCTTAACCCGCAACGGCTACAAGACTTGGCAAAAAGGGGATCGACACAGATAGACTCGTCCTACCCACATACAGGTCGATGCCAGCCTCTGAAGCATGGCCATAGCCTCTAGGCGTGGGGTGTGGTGAAATTCGATGTTGCAGTGCAGTTAGTTGAGGTGGGCCAATGGAACAATTACGTTGTGCTTCAGCGTAAATGTGCAATGCTACCCATTCCAATTCTCCGAATTACCGGCCTCTGGCGAACACCATCTTGTAGATGTTTGGGTTCCTTAGAGACGTCACGAATGCGAACAACGACACGTGCCGACACAAAGTTTTCCCCATCAGAAGCACATCCAAGTCCATACGGTTGTCCGTACCATGTATGCATGGAGATCTGCTTTTAACTTTCAAGATTCCCTCATACCTAAGTGCATGCAGCGGATATTGGCCGGTGCTCTCCTCCCCCACCCTTACCGGGGAGTTGGTTTTAGCCATTCAAAATTCCCTGATGACACATCATTTCGAAGAAACAAAACATCATTTAAAAGGGCCGGTCTTGGCAGGCACGACAGGGTGGGATGACTTCAGGGAGTCATTGTAGCGCGCAGTGAAGGATGTGGAAGTATGGGAAACTGGGACTTGAAGCTGACGGGAATCAGGAACGCATAGATTGGCGGGGTGATGCATAGCCCCATCCCGCGCTCCATGATTGACATCTCCGCGAAGTCAAGCCTTTCGATTTAATTTGATTTGTTTCGCAACCACGGCGCCCTGGAAGGACGTGGAGCCCTCGGGGTCCAGGGCATGGCGTACCGTATTAAGGCCGACATTGCCAACATGCGAAGAACAACCACTGATACCCGCATCGACGTTCCTCGTTGGCTCCTTGCATATTCGTTCGCCTAATTACCCATATTCCTCTTCAGCCCAGGTGCTAAGGTACCAAAGAATGGTAAATCCGTCATAGGTATCCGTATTGTATTATTCAGTGTAATGTATTGAGGTAGGGTCAAAGGACAGGTCTGGGGTGGGAACCACCCGACGGCTATTTCTCGGGTCGCCATGCGCCAACAGCCTGCTGAGGTAAAGTGCCTACCTACCTTACCTACCTAATTACGACACTACCGACTGAAGGTACCTGTGGTGGGTATGCGTCCACTTTACGCGTCTGGGCACGGTCAACGCGTCCACCCTTCCAATTCGTAGGCACCCCAGCACTTCACGACAGCTGCCGATGGATGTAATGTAGAAATGGCGTTGCGCATACACCAAGCGACGACTAAACATCTTGTCAAGACGTCATGTAAGAACAAGCAGGAGATACGGCTTTAGGAAAAATCGGATTACGCATCGAATCACAGTTGATCGAGGAATCATGGCCACAATCAAGCCCATCGAGGGCCGCACAGTGAACTCCCCGCAAACCGTCGTCCACGTCCTGTACTGACAGCATCGCAGATTCACCAGATTCAATCTGGTCAAGTCATTGTTGATCTGTGCTCTGTCGTCAAGGAGCTTGTGGAAAACAGCATTGATGCCGATGCTACAAGCATAGGTACGCAAATCCGGACAATCATCTCTGCCATGTGATTTGTGGATAGACTCGATTGCTGACATCTGCACCCAGATGTACGCTTCAAGAACCAGGGACTGGACTCCATAGAGGTCCAGGATAATGGCGATGGAATCTCATCCGACAACTACGAGTCAATTGCCTTGAAGCACTACACTTCGAAGCTTGCAACCTACTCCGATCTGGCTACTCTCAAGACCTTCGGTTTTCGCGGCGAAGCCTTGTCATCGTTATGTGCCTTGTCTCAATTCAGCATTGTCACCTGCATGGCACAAGATGTTCCCAAAGGCACAAGACTCGATTTCGAATCATCGGGGAAGCTCAAGGAAACTCATGTGGTCGCCGCCCAGAAGGGCACCAACGTCATCGTCGGGAACCTGTTTCACAACCTTCCTGTACGCCGCCGCGAGCTTCAACGCAACGTCAAGAGAGAATGGAATAAGGTCATCGCATTGCTGAACCAGTATGCTTGTATCCAGACTGGCGTCAAGTTTTCCGTTTCCCAGCAACCTACCAAGGGAAAACGAATAATCCTCTTCTCTACAAAGGGCAATCCCACCACGCGAGAGAATCTGGTCAACATCTTCGGCGCCAAGACGATGACGGTTCTGGTGAAACTCGATCTCTCCCTCCAGTTTGAGCCCACCGCTAGGCCGGGCTTGAAATCCACTAATCAAGACGAGAAAACTTCCACAAAGGTCCAAGTCCAGGGTTACGTGAGTCGTCCAGCCCACGGAGAGGGCCGTCAGACCCCTGATCGACAAATGTTCTTCGTCAATGGCAGACCATGCGGCCTTCCTCAGTTCGCCAAGGTCTTCAATGAGGTTTACAGGGCTTACAATGCCTCCCAGTCGCCCTTCATACTGGCTGACATCCAGCTTGATACGCACTTATATGATGTCAACGTCAGCCCGGATAAGCGCACGATCATGCTGCATGATCAGAATCGCATGTTGGAGAATATGAAGGAGGCCTTGTCGTCCCTTTTCGAATCCCAAGATTACTCCATTCCGTCCGCGCAGCAGTCAACACAGATAACACAGTCAGCCAGGGCGGCCCCTGTTCTCCAGAGCGACGGCTCCGAGGATGATGATGAACCTTCGAACCAAGCACCAGCCGCCCCGGCGAAGCAGACAAGTCCAAGTGACGAAGATGACGTTAGCTCCGAAGATGATGATGAACAATCTCAATCACGCACTAAGCAACCACGCAAACCTCGTCAGAGGAAACCCCAAAAGCTCACAACAGCAGAACTACAGTCCCAGAGCTTGATGAGCCGGTGGGTTGGACGAGCGGCTGACAGTCGTGCTTTGCAACGAGGAATGGATATAGAATCCGAAGAGCCTGTCGCTGGAGATAGTGGCGAGAAGGCTCCGGCTACTGAATACGACCCTGGTGTGTCCGAATCAGAGAACGAGGTGGCGGCGGAGGCTGCCGAAAGCACTTCTTTCAACACGCCGCGACAGGTTCTCGACTTCAATGCCCGGCTTTCAGACGCCCATAAAGACCACAAAGCTGATGTTTCGGAGGAGAGTGTCTCGCAGTCTTCTATCGATGGCACCGAAAGTAGACAAGCCCAGATTCCTGCTATGACACCTATTAGAACACCAAGAGTTGACCCTCTCATGGCTTCATCTACTCCACGGCTACCTAAGCGGTCAGCCCTAGAAGTTGCAACCGTGTCTATTGGAGAGAGTACGATCATCAGCTCCGTAGAGCCGGCTTCGAAGAGAATAAGACACGAGCCGACCTCCTCGCCGACGTCAAAGGCTGCTCATCCACCATTGAGCTCAACCACGGCGAAATCCTCCTTTGGCTCAAGGCTAACCCAGATGTTCTCTGCGAGTAATGCAGCGAGGCAGAAAGGGGTCAGCAGGGCGAGCACAGATCTGCCACAAAACCCCAGCGAAGATGCTGGCGCAGAGACAGGTGATGGTGGGGAAAGCGATGGCAGCTCAGCGGAGAGGGCACCTGCGGATGAGACCATGGTCAGCCAGGATGATGAATTTGAGTCTGCTTCCGATAGGGCCGATGCGTTGTCAAGTCCAACACATAGGCCCCATGCGAAGGTATCGAGCCGTATTAAGACCCTAGTGCCGGTCACAACGAACGACGACATTCTGAAGGATGAAGCAGCGGCGCAGACTATGCTCGCAGATGCCCGGTCGAACGCCCTCAAAGGGGGAGGCAGGCGAAAGGACGCAACTCTACAGCAGAGGCAAAATGTCAAGATTGACACCAACGATCTCCAGTCTCGCATCGAATCTTGGCAGGCAGAGCTACGGCGCACCACCCAAAACCTAAGCCGACAGTCCAAGACCTCCGGTATCGAGGATCTCGAGGCCCAGGATGCCGAAGCAGCCCTGTCCTTGATCATATCAAAGTCGGATTTCGCAAAGATGACCATTGTCGGTCAGTTCAATCTCGGCTTCATTATCGCAGTTCGGCACGCGGCTCGGGACCGAGACGGTGACGCAGTCGGGGACGACGAGCTCTTCATCATTGACCAACATGCGTCGGACGAAAAGTACAACTTTGAGAGATTGCAGTCCACAACGGTGGTCCAGTCTCAGAGATTGGTACACCCGAAGCAGCTGGAACTGACAGCGCTGGAGGAAGAGATCGTCATGGAAAACGTCGCGGCCCTGGACGTCAACGGCTTCAAGGTCAGCGTGGACAGCTCGGGTGACCAACCCGTGGGGGCGAGGTGCAAGCTCCTCGCGCTACCGCTCAGCCGCGAGACGACATTCACATTGTCTGACCTCGAGGAGCTCATTTCTATGCTCAGCGACCACCACCTCACCGAAGTCAGCAGTGCCCCTCGGCCGTCCAAGGTGCGGTCCATGTTCGCAATGAGGGCATGCCGCAGCAGCGTCATGATTGGCAAGGCTCTGGCGCAACGACAGATGGAGAAGCTGGTTCGTCACATGGGCGAGTTGGATAAGCCATGGAATTGTCCACATGGACGGCCGACGATGAGGCATCTCACCGGACTGGGTTCCTGGGACGACATGGGATGGAAGGAAACCGAACCTCGGGTCAACTGGGCCAAGTATGCCCGAGCATGACGTTGGATGTCATGTCGTGGTACGCACAAGTCAAAAGTCGATCTTGGTAACATACTGGTTAGCTCTGCTGTGTCATCATTCACGGTGTTCGTTATTTCTCAAGACATATCCGTGAAAAGGGGCCATTGATTAGTTTACATGCCAAAAATGACGTTTGTTATTTGTATTGGTATCACGGCGTAGTTGCCTTCTCTCGTTACTTTACTTTACATTCAATGAAGCTGCCCATACACTTCCTAGTCTTGTTCGACCGGACGTCGTGAAAATCAACCCGTGTTCTCGTATCAAACTCCCAAAACAAGTATTCATTCGCTGCTTACGAAAACCTCATCACCGCGCCACGCCATAGTGAACGCCCTTCGACCCTGCGAGACCTTCTTCAGCGACCTTGCCACTAACGTTACGCCTTCCATAAGCTGACGAGTACTTGTTGTCTTTGAAGTCGTTGCCGGATGAGACTTGACGGTTACCGCCGATCATGACTGGAGGAGTCGCCGACTTCAGCTCACCGTACGGCTTGGAGTAAAAGTCAGCCTCGGGTTGGATGGAGCTGTCGCGGTTGCGCGGCCAGGGTTGAGGGACGAGCGATGAAGGTCTCTGATCCGCAATGTCGTTGGTACCGCTGACCCTACGAGAGTTGAGGTCTACGTCCGACAGTGCCGTATCCTTGAGCGAGTAGTACGGAGCCTTGGTCTTGGGCGGCGTCGGATGGGACTTCAATGGGTTCGGGTGCGGGCTCTTGCCGATATCATTCTCAAAGTCACTGCCAGCAAGGTCGTTCTCGTCGTGCTCTGAATCGGAATCTGCGACGTTGTATCCTTGAGACAGAGCTTCGTAAGTGCTGTTCCTCGTTCCTTGCCGCTGCGTCTTCGCAGCCGTCGTGGCTTGGTCCATGGCGCGATTTCGCTTCTGAGTGCGAGAAATCATGGAGTCTGTCGCAAACCATGTCTCGGTGAATTTGCCTCCAGGGGCTGGGACTGCAGAGGAGAGAGAAGTTCGGGATCCTGCAATGTTGGTCTCATGGAGCGGCACCTCGGTGTAAGACCCGCGGTATGAGGACCTAGGCCCGGACGTACGAGCGTACTCGCTGACGCCTGCTGTCTGGTTTTGTAGATTTCCTGGAGAAACCTGGTACTGCCGACTGGGAAGATCAACAAAGGAATTACGGTTGAAACTGGAAACGTCGGAGCCGGCGCGGGTTCGTTGAAAGGGGATGCTGGGTGGTCGAGATACATCCTCATACGGAGCACCTGATCGACGACGGTCCTCGAGAGGTGTGGACAGTCTCTTGTCGCTGTCGCCGCTCATGGAGGTTGCAACACTGGACTTATTTCTCTTGTGTTTGGCTCGGGAGGTGAGGTTGTCTTCTAGAGGGTTCATGTCGGGGGGCAGTTCGGTAATCTTGCGGAACATGACACCAAGCCATATTGAGATGCCGAGAGAGATCAAGTGCAAACCCCCTGCACCGATGAAGGTATAGAAGACGGCTGGAAGGAAATAGTCCAGTAGACTTTGGTCGGAAAGGCGCGTCTTCCAGGTGCCGCCGCTGTTGTTGACGGTAAGAGCACCGTAGGCGTAAAGAGGCATAACGCCAAGATCAGAGATGCTGGCGAAAAGTTGGTAGGCAGTAGACGAGGCAGGGCTGCGGCCTCCAGCAGGCCGCTGGAGATGGTAGATGCCGTAGAGGCAGTGCACCATGGCGACACCCGGCTGGCAGAAGGTCAGTCAGTTTTTGTTTACTCCGAACCCTGGAGCAGGCAGTCTGGGCAGTGGACAAACCGTAATACGCATGACCCAGCCAGCCAAAGTCTCGATATTGTCTAGCAGGATGAGCAGGGCAAGTAGTCCTGCAGCCCCGATCAATTCTAGGACCCTCAAGCACAGCTGGACGATGCGCATCGCCTTGATCCAGCTCTTCGTTCTAGGGCCGAGGGCAACATAGTTGTTGGATCGATGGTTGAGGACCAGATGAGCACTACAACAGAATAGGCGATCAGTATCAACTTTCCCACTCCTCATGACAAAGACAGTCCTCGCTGTAAATCCTAGACCAAGCGAACTTACTCGGGATGACGGTTGAAGGTTACCAAAGGGCCGTCAGGCTTGGGTTTGCGCGGCTGCGGCTCCCAGCTTGCGCGGGTCACTGCCTTTGGGTCGAACTTTGGCTCTGGGAAACGGGAATTGTTGCTGACGACATTGTAGAGGTACGGTTGGTGAGCCATGGTCGCGACACGGCGTTGGTCTTGTCCTTGCTTGTCCTCCGAGAAAAGAAAGAGAGGAATGCGCGGGACAGGACTTTAACAGAGGTCAGACGGCTGGAATGCCGCCAACTTGAAGGGTATCCGGTGGTTGGGTTGAGGTGTCTAAGGTCTCGCTTTCCTCTCACTTACCACGGACATGTGAATGAATGAAAGAGGTGGGGGGTGGGGGAATGGGTGGTGAGGTGGATGGCGAGGAAGGATGGTTAAGAGCAAGACAGGGACCAGAATCAGAAAGGCCAAACCCAAGGTGAGATGCGCAAAGGTACAGGCAAGTCCTGCGTTTGCCCGGCCTTGACAAGATTGAAGCCGCATCGCTCAAAGGCCCAGTTGTTTTCCAGCCTTCCCGGATCGGTTGGTTGACATTGGGTACATCTTGAGTCTAGTGTTGCAGCTGGCGCGTGGCGGTTGCTATGGCAACTTCTCGTTCCTGCAGTACCTTACGGAGTACTAACGCAGCATGTCTCGGGGAGCTGCACCTCAGCAAGCTCAATTACCCTTGTCACCCCATGTCCAGGGAATATTCGCTTGAAGCCTGTCGCGCCAGAAAGCCGTCATCCAAAGTTGCCTACCTTGTCTGTTCGCACCTCTTCCTGGCCCGACGATCATTGACCTCTCACCTCCAGATATCTGGATCATGGATCATGGGTAGCGTGCCTACTCAGTACACTAGATACTATCCACTTGGCCCCGAACCCCCCACCAACTTTTGAGAGTGTCGAAATGACGTATAAAGCTTGGACCAGTCCTCGATCACAAGCAACAGGGCACTTTCACAGGCAGCTGTAATCCGTAGTTCAAGAGAAACTACCTCACAGCAAGGTATCACAGCTGCGTTGATCACGACATCGATAATTTAATTGCAGGCCTGCTTTTCTTCACCCGCGGCAAAGGCATTCACGTACTCTGCTATCGAATTTTCAGGCACAGCCCAGTGCAAGCAACCAAGGTAAGGCAGTGAGTGGCTTTATAAGCCATAGGCCGAGGACGCCGTGTCCATGCTTTACATCGGTACCGCAACTAGGCCCGGCTCCGGATTGTGGATTCTCGATTTAAATCCGAAAGCTTCCACCCCGACGCCTTCTTTGACTTGACTCACTCGGTGCCCTATACTCGGGCTGCATTAACCAGCTTTGGCGGTAGCTTCCCATTTCACTGACCAGGCTATCTCGAGTTATTATTGTCTGAACACGCAGTATCCAGTTTCACCCCGGACAAGTCAAGTTCCTTGACTATCAGAACAGACCAAAGTCTACTCCGCGCTACCCTCCACCGGTCCCATGATTCTATCCCGATGCCGGGCCAGGCTGCGTCCAGCCTGCCGCCGTTTTCGGATGGAAGTGGGCAGCGGCGCTTCCGGGTCGCGCCCGTCGAGTACCGTCGCGAGACAAGTCCGCCAACCGAACGCCCCATTCCGACTGGCCGTCGTTGGCTCCGGTCCAGCAGGCTTCTACTCTGCCTACCGCGTGATGTCCCAACTCCCAGAGACTACGGTGGACATGTATGAGTCGCTGCCGGTACCGTTTGGCCTCGTCCGCTTCGGCGTTGCCCCAGATCATCCCGAAGTCAAGGTTCGATATCTCCCGTCTCGTTGACTTCCTCACCGGTGCATGCTGCTTACACAACCCCCAGAACTGTCAGGACAAATTCACAGAAGTTGCGGCCTCGCCTAAGTTTAACTTCATGGGTAACGTGACCATAGGCGACGTCGGCCGTCATCCCGACAGCTGCAATGTGCCCTTTCCCACCTTGTTGCGAAATTATGATGCAGTGTTACTCGCATATGGAGCCGCAAAGGATAGAACCCTCGGCATCCCTGGAGAATCCAATCTCCAAGGCGTCTACTCGGCTCGCCAGTTTGTGGGCTGGTATAATGGGCTCCCCGAGTATGCCGATTTGTCACCCGATCTCACGAAAGGAGATGAGGCTGTCGTAATTGGTCAGGGCAACGTAGCCCTGGACGTTGCTAGAATGCTCCTGGAGGATATCGATGCCCTGCGGCGGACAGATATCACAGAAGAGGCCCTTGCCCAGCTTGCAACCTCTCGTGTTAAGAGAGTTCATGTCGTTGGAAGACGAGGTCCAATGCAGGTGGGTAAACCGCTCAACTTCTTGTGTCCAGAGAGAGCAGACGAGTTGATCCTCCCACCTAGGCCGCGTTCACAATTAAGGAAGTAAGGGAGTTGATGAAGATTCAAAGTGTTGGCTTTCATCCGGTGGACAGCACGCTCATACCCCCAGACATCAAGTCACTTCCAAGAGCAGCAAAGCGCTTAATGGAAGTGGTCGCCAAGGGCTCCGTGTCTCGTCCAGACGATGTCGAGAAATCGTGGTCACTCGACTTCTGCTTGAATCCCGTTGAGTTTTCAGCCAACCAAAATTCTCCTACCGATGTTGGGAGTACCGTGTTCGAGAGGACGGAACTGTCTCACAAGTTTGATCCCGGTGCTCAAGCTCGGCTTACCGGAGAAACTGTCACGGTGCCTTCGAACTTGGTCTTTCGTTCCATTGGCTATAAGTCCATTCCCTTGCCCGGTTTCAAAGAGGCCGGTGTAGCATTTGATGACCGCCGAGGTGTCGTGATGAACGATGGACGCGGCAGAGTTGCTGCAGTAGATCAGAAAGAAGCGTCTGAAGCGACACAGTCAGGTGTAACCCCCGGTGTCTATTGTGCCGGTTGGGTTAAACGAGGACCGACTGGCGTCATTGCCTCGACTATGCAGGACGCCTTTGAGACGGGCGATTCTATCATTCAAGATTGGCTGTCTGGTTTGCAATTCCTGTCTGCGGGCAAGGAGAAGCCCGCGGCAGGATGGGATGGAGTCCGCAAAGAAATCGGTGACTCAGCTCATAGGAGAACAAGCTGGGAAGACTGGCAAAGAATTGATGGCGTAGAGAAGGAAAAGGGTCAGGCCGCGGGCAAGGAGCGGGAGAAATTCACGTCCACCAAGGCTATGCTTGAGGTCCTGTCATAGAATACGGCACTCTAGTCCAATGTAGAAATACCCCTCTTTGTAAACTATAGAAACATTGCTATTTACTGCTTGATCTTCTCAGTCAGTTCTGGCACCTTGTCGAATAAATCTCCCACGAGCCCAACGTCCGCGATTTGGAAAATAGGGGCATCGGCATCCTTATTTATGGCGGCAATGACCTTGCTGTCCTTCATACCAGCCAAGTGCTGGATGGCACCCGAAATGCCAACAGCCAGGTACAACTGAGGTGCAACGACCTTGCCAGTCTGTCCAACTTGCAAGCTGTTATCAGCGTACCCGCTATCAACAGCGGCTCTGGAGGCGCCAACAGCAGCACCAAGAGAATCGGCCAGGGGCAGCATGACCTTGTCAAACTCCTCCTTGGACTTGAGGCCTCTGCCGCCAGAGACAACCCTTCCAGCGGTAGCAAGGTCTGGTCTGTCTGACTTGGCAAGATCCTCTGACACCCACTCAGTAGCAGAGTCAGACTTGGGATCAACGCCATCCTCCACCGCAGCTGAGCCGCTGGCAACTTCGGCCGCGGGGAAGGCCGTGCCTCGGATGGTTATAACCTTGATCTCGTCGGATGATTCTACTGTCGCGATGGCATTGCCGGCGTAGATTGGGCGGACGAAGGTGTTTTCACCCTCGATCGAAGTAATGTCGGAGATTTGCTGCGAGTCCAGCATGGCGGCAACGCGGGGCATCAAGTTCTTTCCAAAGGCAGTGTGTCCAGCGATGATGTGGGTGTAGCCGCCCTTCTTGATGTTCTCGACCAACAGCGGTGCGAAGTTCTCGGGGAGACCCTGCAAGTACGAAAATGTCAGCTCCGGAACCTTACGATTTGTCGACATTCTCTAATAATGCCCTACCTTGTCATACGCGGCATTGTCGACTGCAATGACCTTCTCAACACCTTCAACCTTTGCCGCCTCATCGGCGACACCCTTGATATTGCTTCCTGCTACAAAGCCGTGGATGGATCCTCCCAGCTTCTTTGCTGCTGTGATGGCGCTCAGTGAGCCATGGTTCAATTGACCTTCTCTCTGCTCCAGAATGGCGAGGGTTGACAGCAGACTTCTTCTCGATACAAATCGGAACCCCGAGAGTCCCCTGGACGCTGCGACAGCCCCGCTGCCAGCGGCTCTTCGAGCAAGGAACAGCATTGTGTGCGGCTACGGCGAATGCGAAAAGTACCGACTTTACTGGGCTCGTTTAGAGGAACAATTGGCGAAGCTCACAGTGAGCGAGGGCTTGGGTGTTGATGTGTAGGATCTCAAGTTGAAGAGGAACGGTTGGACACGGCCCGAGGTTACTAGGCCGAGTTCGCATGAAGCCTTTCTCAGCTGTCAAAGTGCCGTCATCAGAGGTAGAGACGCTCTGGCTTGGGCCGGGGGTGAGATTAGCCGCAGCAACCCAGTCGGCTTTATGCTCCGAGCTCTCGGCCTCACCAAGCTTCTCAGGACTCAGGACATTGAACAAGGGACGTGCACCAGAAGATTAGTCATGATTAACGATGCTAGTCCGACACGTGACACTCTACGACCACGTGATCAGATGGACCTGGCGTCGCGCTTCAGCTTCCAACGGGGGAGGGATTGCGCAGGGGAAAGGTACACTTGGAGAAGCCCAAGGACAGAGCAGTTCCCCTGGTATCTTCGCGCCAAAATTTCTCCAGATCCAGACGCGACTCCATAACGACCACACCTCTTCATCTCCCATCAAGAACCACGCGCTTTTGGAGGGGCACACCCACAGGCTGCATCATCAATCAATCAATTCCACCAGTCGCATGTCATAGGGCATCCTATCCGTGCAATTCGTATTCCATTTTGCGCGTCGCGCCCTTGAGCTTCCGCGCGCCTCGACAAGAGTTTGGGTGCCTGCCTCCTAAGATCCATTCAATCACAAGTCATCATGGAGGACCAACCCAACTACGGAATTCCCAACGCCGCCTCTCCTGGCAGCAATCCTATTCTTTCGCAACCACCTTTGCAACCTGCCGCGCCTACCCCGGGAGATGGAGCTGAAGGTGCGTGTCATTGGCGACCCTATTAGCATTGCTTTCATTGGTACAATTGACGGCATCTAACAAGACTATATTTCTAGATGTCCAGATGACCGAAGGCCCGGTCGCTGAGCCTAGCATCAAGCAGGACAGCGCGACACCCGCACCAGGCGTCACGTCCGATAATCCCCTCGACGCCCCCGATGGCCCCGCGCCCGAGGCTACGCAGGACGAGGAAATGGGCGGTGCCCGCGACGAAACAAAGGATGGCCAAGCAGCAAAGGGCGGCGATGATGCTGCAGCTGGAAACGATGCGGAGGGGCAAGACTCCAAGACCAAGGAGACACTCGAAAACGCGGCCCGAGAACATCTTATCTCGCAAACGCACGCCATCGTTCTCCCGAGCTACAGTACCTGGTTCGACATGAACACGATCAACGACATTGAGCGCAAGGCCATGTCCGAGTTCTTCAACAGTCGCAACCGCAGTAAAACACCAGCTGTCTACAAGGACTACCGTGATTTCATGATCAACACCTACAGGTTGAATCCCGTGGAATACCTTACCGTCACAGCCTGCAGACGAAACTTAGCTGGAGACGTTTGCGCTATCATGCGCGTCCACTCATTTCTCGAGCAGTGGGGTTTGATTAACTACCAGGTAGGATCAAAACCGATGCGCTGTCTTATACATGAACTGACTGAAGCGATGTAGGTTGATGCAGAGCAACGGCCCTCACATGTCGGCCCCCCCTTCACTGGTCACTTCAAGATCATTTGCGACACCCCACGTGGTCTACAGCCGTGGCAGCCGTCTGCCGACGCCGTCGTCTCTGCTGGCAAGCCCAGTGCCGATACAGAAAAGAAGGCTGCGGCAACGCCGGTCGCTAAGAGCGAGCTCAACTTAGAAGTCAGCCGCAACATCTACGAAGCAAGCGCTAAGGGTACAAAACTCAACAAGAGCGAACCGAAGACCAATGGCGAAACGCCAGTGACGAACGGTGTTTCGGGTATCGAAGACGCTACCAAGACACCCATTGTCAAGGTCAACTGTCACACTTGCGGTATCGACTGCACTAGGCTATACTACCACAGCTCTCAGGCCGACCCGAATTCCAAGACCAAGTACGACGTTTGCCCAAGCTGCTTCCTCGAGGGTCACCTTCCAGGCAACCAGACAAGCGCTCAATTCACCCGCATGGAAAACCCTACATACACGACCGTCCTTGACAGAGACGCACCGTGGAGCGATGCCGAAATCCTTCGGTTGCTTGAGGGCATCGAGAGGATGGACGACGACTGGAATGAAATTGCGGATCACGTGGGTACGCGAACACGCGAAGAGTGCGTCTTGCAATTCTTGTCCTTGGACATTGAGGGCAAGTATGCGGACTCGGACCTTGCCGTGAATGCACCAACCGGCCTTGCAATGCTCGGACAGCAGGGCGGCCATTTGCCTTTCAGCCAGGCTGATAACCCGGTCATGTCCGTCGTCGGCTTCCTTGCCGGCCTCGCCGACCCTGCCAGTACGGCGGCTGCGGCGAACAAGTCTGCCGAAGAGCTCACGCGTAAGCTTCGCAAGCGACTTGAGGGTGGCAACTCAGAGGAGCAAGCTGTGACCAACGGCAAGGGCAAGGACAAGGACGGCGACTCAATGGAGATTGATATCCGCCAAGACGTCACTACGACGACTACTACGACGACGACGACGCTGGCCACCATTCCTATGGCCACCATGGGCGCCCGGGCCGCTGGCCTGGTGTCCCACGAGGAACGTGAGATGACAAGACTAGTGTCCGCTGCGGCCAACCTCACTCTGCAGAAGTTGGAGTTGAAGTTGAAATACTTCAACGAGATGGAGGCCATCTTGCAGGCAGAGAGAAGAGAGCTCGAGAGAGGACGGCAACAATTGTTCTTGGATCGCCTCGCGTTCAAGCGTCGCGTCCGCGAGGTGCAGGATGGACTCAAGGCGGCAGTCGAGACGGGTGGTGATCAAGGCCTTAAGCAAGCCCAGGATGCGATGTCTGACGGAGCCAACCTCACCTTCCAGGCGGCGCCTGGAGCAGGCGCTGTGCAGCCTCTGAGTAGTGGAGGGCAGATTAAGAGCTTTGAAGCTTGATGCGGCTCATGGCACGGTGTCTCTTCCTTGAGGAAGACATTTATGAGATCCATTGGGACAGATATTGCTCTGCGTGTGGGCGGAGAACGGGGTCCCTGTATTTTGCAAGGGGTTTGGTTTGGTGATGAACAGGAACGGCACAAATAATTGTGGTGAATTGAAATAGTCTGGATGATTTTAGGCGTCGGAGGGATTCCTATGGCTGGGCGACTTCTTGTCGTTTACGCAATTGTATTAGATACTTGCACTACCGGTTTTCTGCCTGCTTTCCATCTTGCCAACACCGTGTGATGTGTAGACCTCGAGGAAATTCTGAGGACGGCAGTGTGGTTGCCAAATGAGTTACGAGCTCACATCATGGGCAAAGGGCGCTGACACATGCCAATGTGTTGTTGTGTACCGTACCTGGTATTGATCTCATGGTGAAGCAGTGCTGGTAGTTTAATGGATGTGCTATGGGTCTCACATGTTTGCGAAGAATCACGGTGCATAAGGTTGTCAGATCCAGCTGCATGGGTAAGCTCAAGTAAAGGTCATCTACTTTGTGGCCGTTGAGCAAGCCGCTTCGCTAATGCGCGTACGGCGCGGTAGTGGTGCTGAAGGATGCTGAGGTCAACCACAATCTGTGAGATGAAGTGCCGCGTGACCCTGACCGTGGCCGTGACCTAGGCTGGCGTGGCATGCGTCCGGGCTGTGGGGCCGTGCTTCATGAACCGGCCGGTGAAGTAAAAAGGTAAAAGCAGAGAGAAAGCGCCTCTTCGCCAAGGTTTGGGAGCACCCTTTCTCGATGCATTCTATTGTCCGACTGTCCCGCCTCAGGTAGCTGTCGAGATGCCAAGCTATCCGGGTAAACGGAAGGGGACCTTGATCAGCTCGATCCTCCGATGGTCCAGTCCGGTATCATCT